TTCCCAGCTTGGTAATCATTGTTAAAGTGCTGGATTTTCAAGCCTACTAGCACATCTGTAAGTTGGGAGTTGCTAGACGTGGTGTGCGCAGATAAAATCACTGTCTAACTTTTTTTTGATAAAATGTTTATCGATTTCAATATATTTTTTCCTATTATGTTATAGCAAATTATGGACAATACTAATTGCTGACTTGTTGTCAAAATAGAGTCTCATCGGACCATTCTATTTGATCCTTAGGTCTTCCAAGATTACTTTCAACCATAAAAACTCATAGAATCCTGGTCATTGCTTGGAATTCTGATTCTGTGTTGGATCTTGACATCACATTTTGTTTCTTGCTTCTCCATGTGATCAAATTTCTTTCAACAAAAGTACAAGAACCTATAGTTCTTCTATCCGCTCTTTATCCAACATAGTTTGTATCAATATAGGTCTCCAGAAGTAATCTTTTATTCTTTTTGAACATTACATCCTTTCCTGGTGCTCCCTTAAGTTATTGTAACACTCAATATCACACATATCGCATAAGTAATGTATGGTGTTCCGTGTGACAAGTAAATAAGTCTTCCAACTAGCATTTGGTATATTCTCTTGTTGACTGCTGCACTTTTTTTTGGCTAATCCCAATTTATGGTTAGGATAAATTGGTGCTCTAGCAGGTTTACATGCCAACTTACTTGTATCCTTTAAAAGATCATTGATATACTTTTCCTGTGTGAAAATTCTAACTTTCGAATTGACCACTTTAATTCCAAGTAAATACTTTAGCTTTTCAAGTTCTTTAATTTCAAAATTCTTTAGCTCATCGTTGTTTGAGCATCAATCTTTTGTTTTCATCATTAATTGTGACAATAATGTCATCAACATACACAAGTAAGACCGTAACTCCCTTTGAATTTGAGTGCTTGATCAACAAGGTTTGATCTCCTTGACTTTGCTTATATTCTATTATGTAAGAAGTCATTTTTTACATCAAACTGTTACAATTACCAATAAAAATTGACAGTTAAAAATAATAGAACTCAAACTATGTTCATTTTGGTAACATGTGTAAAAATCTCTTAGTAGTCTGTTCCATAAGTCTAGGTATATTCCTTGGTTATTAGTCTTGCTTTGTTTCGAGACCATAATCCAGCAAAAATTGCTCCTTGCCATAAAGGCTTAGCTTCTTTCCTCAACCCCACCCCTCGGATACTGTAATGCGTAAACCTCTCCCCTGTAGGAAGTGTCACCCAGTTCAGCCTGAGCAAGTTCACCAGATTTAGCTTGGATTTCTTAAATTATGAATTTTAGGTTAATTTTGCAGTTACACATATTCCACTAGTTTGGTTCTTGGTAGTTTGTCATGAATTTCAATTCAAAGTATTGATGCGGCAACAATTATTGGTGCTTATTTGTCCCTAGAGATCAAGTGACATATGAATCCAAATCCATAGTTCCTGATACCCAAATGGATGACCTCGTTTGGAGGCGATACTACTCAGCCAGTTGGGTTTTCTTTTTACAGTACTTTACACATGCTTTTTATACATAACCTTTTCCCCCTCTTTGAAATGCTTGTGGCCAAGGATGATGAAGTTTCTGCTAGTTTCAATTTTTTTAAATGTAAATGCTATAATTTATGTTACTGTCTCTTACTTTAGTTTGGTTCTGGTAATTGTGTCATGATTTGAATTTGAAGTGATAATGTTGCCAAACCACTTTACTAATGTGTATTTTTCTATTCAATCAAGTAAGTGACATGTATATCAAAAACTCCTCAATTCCCAGTACCTAGGGTGATAACGTCTTTTGGAGGTGATCACCCTAGTTCGAATGAAGTCTTTTTACTGTATTTTACATATGCTCTTTTTTTTTTGAGATAAAAAATCAAGAGGGTAGAATTTATATCTGCTCTTTAATCTGTGACTTTTCTCCCTTTCCAATTTACACAATATTTTAAAGGAATTTATAACTTTACGGGCAGGACATTTTTGGAGTGTGAAGAAGTTAAAGCAGTTGTTAGCATTGGCTGCTGTTACAACTTATTATCCGAGGAACGTTTCGACAATTGTCATTCCCAGTATGGGTTTCCAATGAGTAGCAGTGTTAAATCTTCTGGCTTATCACTTGCGAAAAATTCTCGTGATCTTGCTTGTCAGGTGCATAACTCATTTTGCTTACTGATCTTTAGGTTTCTTTCCTTTTTTTTTTGTTTCTTTTAAGTAGTTTTCTCTTTTGGGGCTGGGAGAGGGAGGAGGATAGAGGAGAGGAAGGTGCTGATTTGGACTAGGAGATCATGTGATGTCACCATAGATAGAGAAGAAGAAACAAGCTTGTGAATACCAATACTTGAGTCTGATAAAAAAGACAGTTTAGATGTCATGAGAATGAATGAATTTGGATAACTACATCATGTTATGTAGCTGCACACAGTCACAAATTGATGAAGGTGCAAATCAGAAAAACTGCTAGAATATTATGATTTTGTCTTTAAATTTGTAGGGCAGATAGATATGTAGTATTATTACTTTAAAATATTCTATTTAAATTATTCGTTATTAGAGTTTGATCCTCATTTTGGTCCAGTAGTTTTAATTCCTCTTTCGTCTGACCACTAAATAAAAATAAAGTTCAATGGAAAATAAACTCCGAACTCCTAACATAATCTAAGCTCCTAAATTGTCTTCAATTCTGCAGACTGCTGACGTCTACAAGGCAGTCTCCTTCTTCCACTTGCTGGGGATCCCATGGCTATAGACTTTTCCAGAAGTTTTGTTATGGGCATATATGGTAGTAGAGCTCTTCACAAGTACTACGTTAACTATGATGCAGTAGTCTAGTTTTAGTTGAAGCTAGGATATTCTGTTAGAGATCTGTGAAGAAAGTTGACTGTATGCAAGTGGTCCATTAATACCATTTGGCCAGTTAACTTCTCTTAGTGTTTGGTTCTAGCATTCTGTCACTATGGTTCTTGATCCAGCTCAGTGGGCCAAATTTTGTTTATTGAGCCTAAATAGGATTTAGTGAAGGAAAGAATTCCTGTAGATGAACCCAATTAGTTTTGGCGCTAAATATCCTTGAGTTGGATTGTGAGATGTAAGTTGTCGAAGAGTTGCCTGCTGCTTCTTTCATATTTATTTGTTCCTTAATATGCCCTTTATTATAGAATTTAAGATAAAACTCATTTATTATAATTTTATCAGAGTGCAGAGAGATGGAGACACTTGGGGAAGGATGCTGGTCTTCAAAATTTTCAACTACATGCTTTTCGTGCTGCTTTCCAAATGGTACAGATTTTTAGAACTTTATTTTTGTGTCAGATTATAACAACTAGTATTGCAATACAGAAAAAAGTGTTATTCATGATCTCTGTTTACAACTCGAATCATTTATCACTAACAACTTAAGTCTAAGCCTTAAAACCACTACTTAAAACCAAATTGAATTATTTAAAAAAACACACGTAAGTCTAAGCTTTAAAACCACTACTTAAAATCAAATTGAATTATTAAAAAAGAAAAACATTTAAGTCTAAACTTTTGGAGCCTCAACGATTCAAAGATATATTAGACTAGTAGTGTTCCATACCGCGCATTACAAGAATCTAAACAAGTAATGTAGAAAATAAATATTAGATGGTTAGAATTAAAGGGTAGGATTGTATTTTCATTTTATGGACAGGTGGAATTGTCCACCACTACCAGAATTTGTTATTTTTGTTGCTTCCATTTTTCATTCTGTTTTGGGGACCACACCCTAAATTTTGGTGTGTCATTTTGGCTGTTGGGTGCTTATAAAACGCACCTCTCCGCCTCTGTGTAGAGAAAGCAAGAAAGAAGAGAAGAATTTCTCATTCTCAATCTCACTCAAATTTGCTTCCATTAAATTTTTCATGATATCAGAGGCAGTCTGATCCAAAATTCTCCTTTCGCTTGCGTCAGACGCTTCAATGGCCACAGATGACCAAAATTCATCACCCGAAGCTATCTCAGGCATGTATCTTCCTAACTCCACCAACTTTGGAATGGTGGAGCAGCACTCATCATTCATCACTAGTCATTGCCTTAATGGTGATAATTACCTCCAATGGTTGACATCTGTTCGGCTATTCATCCGATGGAAAGGGAATGATGAATTTCTTATCGGAAAAAATCCAGAACCATAGTCGGATGACCCACGAGCTCGTGCTTGGAAAATTGACAACAGCATGGTGATGTCTTGGTTGTTAAGCTCCATGACTCCCGAAATCAGCGAAAACTTCTTTTGTACGAATTGGTCCACGAAGTTTGGGAAGTTGCCAGTGAGTTTTACTCCAACTGCGAGAACACATCAATACTTTTCGAAGTCAAATCCACTATTCATGAGCTGCGGCAAGGTGAGTTCATTGTAACCCAGTTTTATAATTTGATAACCCGCAACTGGCAGCAGCTCGATGCCTTTGAGGACCATTAATGGTGCTGCCCAAAAGATTCAAAAAGGTACAGAAAGATTATAGAACAAAAGAGAATTTTCAGGTTCCTCATGGGGCTCAACAAAAGCCTGAATGAAGTGCGGGGCCGCGTTTTGAGCACGAAACCACTGATGGGTATTTGTGAAGTCTTTTCTGGAGTTCGGCGAGAAGAGAGCAGAAAGAAGTTGATGCTAGGAGATTCTCAGTCGACTCAGCTGAATGAAAATGCTTCAGCTCTCACTTCACGTGTCGCTGATTCCCGTGGAAAGAAAGGGCGCCCGTTCTGCAATTTTTGCAAAAAACCAGGATACTTCCGTGAGAAATGCTGGAAGCTCCACGGAAAACCTGGAGAGAAGAAGTTCCCTGAAGAAGCTCACGGTAATTTGACGACTTCGAAAGAGCCATCTGTGCAACCTGAGAGTGCTCTTTTCAGTCTAGAGCAAATGGAGGCATTGATGAAGTTGTTTTTGTAAACAATGGGTACTGCCTCTGCTTCCATGGTCCAAAAGGATAATTACCCATTTGGTTTATCAGCATGGTGTAATTAAAAACAAATTTGGATTATGGATTCTGGAGTCTCTGACCATATGACAGGAAATCAACATTTGCTTGGTGATTACAACGAATGTAAGGAAGATTATTTGATTAAAATAGCTGATGGATCAAGCTCTAGAGTGGTAGGAATTGGCTCCGCAAAAATATCATCCTGCTTGATAGTCAAATCTGTGTTTTATGTGCCTAATTTGGATTGCAATTTACTGTCCATAAGTAAACTGTGTAAGGATATGAATTGCGTGGTGAAATTTGACAACCATACTTGTGTATTTCAGTACTTGGCTTCGAGGAAGATGATTGAGAATGTTAGGATGGATTCAGGTCTCTACTATTTTGCAATTGATTACACTTCCTCAAGTGGACAAGCTTCTAATGCTGTATGTGTTAATTTAATTCCTATAGATTGCTCAAACAATGATCACTCAGTTATGTTATGGTATTACTGATTAGGCCACCCAAATTTTTTGTACTTAAAAGCAAATGTTTCCTGCTTTATTCAAGAATAAAGATCTACTTTTATTTCAATGTGAAGTATGTCAGTTTTCAAAATATACTCGCAATTCATTTCCTAGTATACCATATAAACCCACAAATCCGTTTGCACTAATCTACAGTGATATTTGGGAACCTTCACGAATAAAAACTATTACTGGAAAAAAATAGTTTGTATCTTTAATTGATGATCACAGTAGAATTACCTAGGTTTTCCTTATGAGAGAAAAGTCTGAAATGAGCCAAATATTTCAGAGATTTAATATTATGATTTAAAATCAGTTTCACAATTCAATCCAAGTTTTGAAAACTGATAATGTTTGTGAATACTTTGAATTCACCCTCAGGGAATATCTTAAAAAATAAGGTATTATCCACCAAAGCTCTTATGTTTACACCCCACAACAAAATGGCATAGTCGAGATGAAAAATAGGCACATTCTTGAAGTTGGCAGATCTCTTATGTTTACAACCCATATAAATAAATTTTTATGGGGTGAAGCCATCCTTACTGCTACCTATTTGATCAATTGAATGCCTTCTCGGGTACTAAAGTTCGAAACTCCTTATAAAACTCTCCTTCAGAGATTTCCAGAATCTCATCTCTTAAACACTATCCCATTAAAATTATTTAGCTGCACTGCCTATGTTTACATTTACACTCACCTCAAGGGAAAATTTGATTCAAAGGCCCTTAAATGTGTGTTAGTTGGCTATTCCTCAAGTAAAAAAGGATACAAATGTTTTTTCTCAGGAACTTATCGTTTTTACAATACTATGGATATAATATTTTTTGAAAACCAACCATTTTATTCTACAACTAACATTCAGGGGGAGAATTTCACTAAAAAAATATCAGTTATGGGATATAAGTCCTCTACCATTCCATACCCCGATACCATCTCCTCAAAATACAAATATCCAGGAAACCACTGAAAAATCAGAATCCATTACAGATACTAATGACTCATTACCTGCAAAAAGTAAGTTACGTGTCTACAGAAGGAGAAACAAAACTCAAGATAGTAGAATTCTTGAATCAACTATGCAAAGTCATGAGTCAACTCCTAAACCAAGCACTCATAGTACTACAGGTAATGAAATTTTTGACACGTTGGTTAATATTGAAATTAATGCTGAACTTCCTGCGGCTTTGAGGAAGGGTATTCGTTCTTGTACCTTGCATCTCATACAAGACTATGCTTCATATAACAAATTATCTCCTACCTACAAAGCCTTTATCAGTAAGTTTGATAAAAACATGATCCCAAGAACTATTCATGAGGCACTTAGTTTTCAGAATGGAAAGTCGCAATCTAAGAAGAGCTCGCAGCACTTGAGAAAAATATAACATGGGAAGTTTTTGACTTACCTTGAGGGAAAAAGGCTGTAGGATGCAAATGGATCTTCACCACAAAATACAATCCTGATGGAACTATAAACCGTCATAAAAGCTTGCCTTGTTGCCAAGGGTTTCACTCAGTCATATGAGATTGACTATCAGAAACTTTTGCTCCAGTTGCAAACCACAATACTATACGTGTCCTATTCTCCTCGGCCTCTACCTTGATTGGTCGCTTCATCAACTGGATGTAAAAATATTTTC